GATTGATGTGTTCCGGCTCGCGCAGCGTCCGGCAACCACTGCTGAAGTCCGCGACCTTGGGCAAGGGACAACCTTGCTTGGGGGCGCGACTCAAATGAGAAACTGATGTATTAGAGAGATTATAGCGGCCTGGTAGGTCGCGACAGAGGGACGTGGAACAACAGAGCAAATGGAGGAGTTGCATGGAACGATAGAGCAACTGGAATCCGGGATGGGTTCTGAACCCGGCGACACAACTGCCTTGATCCAGCACAGGCTGGGGGCTTGGACAACACGTAGAGGATGTAGACACACACAACACCGAGCACTGATGGCTATTGCTACCCAACAGGGCGGACGCGCGCAGGTCTAGCTGCAAGTGCCGCGGGTGATGCGATGACTTTATTGGCTGCTTGTATCGAATTTCTCAAACTTCGAATCGGATTCCCGACAAAAGTATACGACATATTTGCATACATTCCGTTGTAGTAAAATCCAAGGAACCCGTGGGAATCCCACTGACAATGTCAACGCCGTTAGCAAACGGGTGAGCGACGCGAAGTGCATCCTGCTCACATGTCACGAATTGATGTGTTGACATAAGGAGGGTAGCTTCACCAACGACAAACTTGTCCTTGCCATCAGACCAGCCGATTGCGGCGAGATACGCTCCAAGACAGTTTTCTTGCATCCTCCAGCCGTCTTCGAGGCGATGTCGAGTAAACACCGTAATGGATCCTTCAGCTAGTTGTAGTTGGGGGTGCTCGCACACATCCAGTTCGTCGCGCACACAAACTGCTGCAGGTCTGCTGCAGTTGTTGGAGGTGACAGGTCGACGAGACCTTGATTTCGACTTGGAGAATGCGTTACCCCCGCAGCCGAAATGACCTTGCCGCACCACTCAGCTTTCTTGAGGAAGAAGTCACAGTTCTCGGGTTGAGCTTCAACCCGAATTGATCGCAAATCGTGAGGACTTGATCCAAGAGATCCAATAACTCGGCCACGGTCTTGGTTGACCCCAGGAGGTCATCGAGCGACGCGAGTTGGCCACGAATGAGCAGGTCACCTAGCACTTGGTGTTAGTATGCGACTGAGCCAGTCTGACGCATCAACACTGGGGTCGGAGTGTACACGTCAAATGTAGCCGTGAAGGAGAAGAACTCCTATGACTAGGGGTGTAATGGCAGCCTGTACCCCTTGGTCCAGTCCAAAGTGAAGTAGACTATGGAGCTGTCCAGGTTGCGCATCGGCCGACTGTTGATCGTCATCCGCAACGCGCCAGCGACTATCTTGGGCACGATCCGTGTTGCAGCCGCCCATGCTGATCGATTGCTCATATAAACTATCCGGTTAGCTTGCGACACAGTAACGTGTTCTCACACGTATTCGACGTGCGCCGGCGGGTAACGCCGCATGCCACATTTGACAGGCACCGAACCGGGCTTGATTCGTACCTTCAACGGTTTAACCATGACGGAGGCGTCGTCACCCAGGTCTTCTCGGAACAGGTCCACATGCTTGCAGAGCAGGCTCTCTAACAGCTGGGCGTCGCCAGGAGCGAGACCACGCGTCGGATACCAAATACAGTGTCGCGCTTCTTTAGACGTCGCTCGCTTTCTAGGTTGCTCGACGGCGGGATCTCGACCTCCGGCATGGCACACTCGATCCCGTCGCTTCGGCGAGATCGGTCTCGGGCTCAAGGGTTTGCTGAAACCGATCGGATGTATCATTTCGCCTGCCGTCGTCGAGCGCCGTGAAGTAGGTCGTCGATGGAGAAACCGAGGACCTCCAAAACAGGACGACTCACGATAAAATCCATCGCAGTTGACGCCTCGTCGATCCACGCTTGTTGCCCGCGTAACATGAATGGTCTACACGGCGTGTCTTGCGTCACCGTGCCAAACTCGGCATGACGCTTCATCTCAACGGCTTGGCGTCGACACGATTAGGGTAAACTAGATGTGGTTGGTCTTGATCTTCGATGAGGAACGTGGTATTCTTCTCCGCCCACGCATCCATAACGCCACATGAAACGACGTTCACGTCTGCGCTCGTGTTCAGGTGGGCGCTCTCGACTCGTACGAGTCCTTTCACCAGAGCGCCGCGCTTGATCGGGTGGCGACTGGGTTGGCTGCCCAGGGCTGTCGCGCCATCCCTCCACTTCGCCTGCCGCGCTTCAAATAAGCTTTCCGCCTCGCCAGGCGTAACAACAGGGCAGTTCAGCATTTAGTGTCCCTTGTCGCCAAACTTTAGACAGACCAGCTTCTTCCTTGGCTTGTAATCATCCTTTACGCCGATAGCGACAGATTTTTCAGGCCCTGACGCTCTGCCAGCGGCTCTTCCGTTACCGTCGAGTCACGACCTTTGTCGGGCAAAGAGCTGTCACATTCACTTAACACATCGGAACACATCGTCCTTCAGACCTTTGCTCCTCTGCAGCTGCAATTGATTTCGCACAAGTCTCTTGAGCGTTTCAGGTTTGATCGCCTTGGTCATAATCTCGACGACAATTTTGGCCTCTTGATGGAGGACCCGTTCTGGATGGTCTTGTTCAAGCACTCACATCAGTTCGTCGAGCATTCGGTGGACACGTGATTCCACGTTGTGGATCTTTGTGCCCAAGCGTATGGCACTAGAGAACCGCCTCTACAAGACGTTCAGGTCTTGCGTGTCTGCATTGAATGCCATGTGAAACCATGCCACCCATTATTCTTCCGTGACAGCTTTGTGGTCTTTGTTTTTGTCGAACAAGGCAACACGCCACTTGGAGAAAGGACCCATGTACGTTCTGACAGGCATTGACGCGGGTGAGAACCGACACATTGTAGAGCATTGGTTTGAGTGATATACTTGTGGTACTTCAAGCATGAAAGCACGTCGCTCCGCTTTCGTAGAGCCTTTGAGCAACGGTGCTTAGGGAATTGCAGGCGCATTCCAAACTCGACAAACATAACCGTCGTCGTCGCCCATGTTGACGTCATCCACTGGGGTTAGTTGATTGGGCGGCGGCAACACCTGCCACGCGTGTTGACTTCGCTTGGCCGGTGCACATAGTGACGACTTCTTCAGGTCGCTCCGTTGGTTGAGGATGTCCACCAAATGGCGAGGGACTAATCGTGCACGCATCACCATGACGAAACCGTGTGCCCGCAGGAAGATAACCACGTTGTCCCGGGGATCGAAAAGGGTTTGCCACCTGGCGCCGCACGGGTTGTACTCGTGGCTGCTCGTCGCATTGGCGCGATCGCGAGCGGTCGTCACCGACCCAGCGTCGACGATGTCTTCGTCGGGAGAGCCGTCCCGATTCATTTGGTCTTGTCAGCTGATGTCTTCAACTAAATATATCGTTACGCTTTCGACACAGAGTCCATTCACGAGATTGCAACTTCAACTTCAAAACCAGCACTCAGAACCTAAGTCACGACATGTGGCCTCTACTGACTACCATTCTCTAGAGTTCCCCACTTACTGAACTAGGATGTCGTTGCGCGTGCGTGCGATAGCAGAAACTCCGTGGACTTTGCAGCTTGGCAAGACTTTGGGCAACCCAAGCTGCTTTGCTTAGCAGAACAAAACATTTTGGTGAATGTAAAATATGCTCACACAAACCAACGGCTGTTGGTTGCTCGACATAGCTCTTATAATCATATTTGCACATAAAGGTCGCATCCGACATCGAACCGGCAAATTGTTAGATGGGGATTGGATGACCGACACGAGCAGAGTATATGATTGGATGAATGTATTTCAGACAATTGTATTGGTCGACGCTGATGTCGTCCGTGTACATATCATTTACATAGCACAATAACACGCTGCCATTGGTAAAATAGCAAAAGCGGTTTCGTATCCATGAATAACCAACATGACGCCGACGCCACTGGCAGCCCCAGCGTCGAAGCAGACGATCGAGGAGTTGTTCCGCGGCGCATCCACGAGGCGTGCCTATGACACGTACCGGAAATAGTTCGAGTCCTTTCTCGAAGTTCACAAAGGAGGCACTGCACTTGAGACGGCCAGTCCAGACGACTGTACAGACTTCTTCCACCACTTATACACGAACGGTAAAAAGGCGAGGACGATCGACGTTGCCAAGTCCGCGTTGGTCGCTCATTACAACAACAAACGCATCACCCCAAACCCAGCTCAAGACGCGAATGCCCGTCGATACATCGTTGGTCTTCAAAAATTCAACAAGAAGAACAACGTTGACGAAGAAAGGAAGGCTCACCCACTGACAGTTCAAGAGCAGTCAACGCTCATGAAAGGCATCGCCGGAATGCATCCTTTTGTTAGTTCATTGCTCCGGCTCCTACTTTCCGTGGGTTTCCTGGGCTGCTTTCGTATCAGTGAGGTTCTAAACCTCCGGTACAACGATGTTCAACTTGTATCTGATTGCAGGGGTCGGTACCTCTCTGTGCGACTCCGGTGGCACAAGAAGGCAAATGTGGAAGCAGACTGCCAGATCTACCACCTCGTTGATGAGACGACGTATCCGTGTCTTCGCGTATGTACCTTCCACGAGGAGTACCTGTCAACAGTGCGTGCTTCCGGTGCCAACCTGTCCAGTACTGCCTTCGTGTTCCCCAACGTTGTGTTTCAGCATTGTGGTGTCCCTCGTATTGACTGGCAGCGCGCACTGGAGCAGAAGGTCTTGCGAAATCCTCTCGGCGACATCGTCGACATGACACCAAACCTACCAATTGGAATATCATTGCACAGTTTGCGTCGCGGTGGTGCCTATTACCGAGTGTTTGAGTCCACTGAGCGTCGTTTCAACTTCCGAGAGTTGATGGCCTGGTGCAGGTGGTCGGACGCGAAGACGTGCTGTGAATACCTCGTGACGCAAAGTATCAGCAACGACATTGACCCTCGCAATCTGCTTCGAACGGGTGCGCTGCAACGATTACAAGGGCTGGGTTTGTCGAACGGTGGCGAGAGCGGTTTGCACTTCTCCCTTGAAGAAATCGGCAACGCTGTAGCGAAGAGCCTGCAAAGCATTGAAGGCAAGCAACAACCAGTGTCCAAGACGACGAAGCAGTCGTCTATGAATGGGTTCATCACAAAAATCGATTCCTACCGCGCGATCGGGACGGCAAGCATGGCAACAGTGGTTCGTGGCCGATCCAGCAGCAGGGCTGGTTGTTGCTTTGAAGGATTACAGCAGCGGCATGATCCGCCTCGATCGTAAGAAGTACTCAGAACGAGCGACATTGGGTATGGCATTCGCTAGGTACCAGTCGTTCGAGCAGTTCGAATTGGCGTACTCTAGCTTCACAAACTCGTATGCTCGTTTGTTTAAAGTGGTGCGTCGTCGAAAGCATGCTAAACGCGTTGTAAGAACGATTTGTGTTGGATGATTGATGTGTTTGTGTCGGAGCGTAGCGACTAGCCCCGCTGGGCCGATTTTTTCCCTTTATGCCTGGTTTTTGTGAGATTTATTGCGAATTATTTTGTTCTTTGTAGCGAAGCGTGTTGGTCGTGACGTTAGCTGCAGTTTCGTCCATGTTTGAGGTCCTAAAGTGTTGTGGTGTTGGTTTTGTGCACTGATGAAGTCGTCAATGACTTTGTTTGATTTGAAGCGAAAACTCATTCGGCCAATCAAATCAATGTCGGATGGTTTAGTCGGATGTGGAATGTTACCCATACATATTTGTCGCGAATGAATGGGCATGAATTTTGTCAATGCGTGTTCAAGTTGGTCTTTCATTTTACCAAACTAGGTGGACGAGAAACCGCCCAACATTTCGACAAGCAGTCACAGTCATACGCGGAGACTTTTGAGCCTTCGAGATAATGCTTTTTGTACTTTGATCAACACCAAAACGTCTTTGCAACGGTTCTTGTCCGTGTAAGATGCCAATGCGAACAAATTCATGCACGAACCACTAATCTTTTCTATTCACAGCGATTCGAGTTGGGGTGGGACGTTGTTGGTTGGTGGTACAGTAACGAGAAAGATGTAGATGTGTTGGACATATATGTATGCGAAACATCTATCACAAGTTTTGTGATGCGTTGACTGTGACGGACGAAGCAATATGGCCAGATGTACAGGGCTGTAGTCCCAACTTGTCGAACAATATTAACCTATTGGATTCACTTTCATGTTGCAGAATAACAGGTAGGGAAAAGAAAGCACTATGAAGTACTACCTCTGGTTGGCAACTATTGCAGACGAACATTCAGAGTCATTCAAAATACAAGTATAATGAAGCCGTATTTAAAAAGCTAAACTGCAATGGTGCCAACTAGATCGCACAACTCGTCCAATCTGCTTTCCTCTTCGAGACGAAGGCAAGCTCATCGTTTCGTCTTCAAGGATCATTCCGTCTTCCTTGACATTGCTCCGCGAAATCTTGTACCGTATGTATTGCCACCATTTGCACTTAAAACAGCACGCATTACACGCTCCAGTGTACAGAAGGTCTTCTCCAGGGTTTCGGGCAGTAAACCGTCAAAAGAAGCTTTCACGGCCAGGACAAGCTCGTCGATGGTTTTGCACTCCATGGTCCAAGTCGACACGCCAATTGCAGCAGCAAGAACGCTGTACGTTTGTCGCTGCGCCAACGGTGTTGCCTTGATTCGACGCTCAATTTCGTTGACTGTGTAGGTTTTTTTGCGGCCAGTTTTGGACATCCCGGAGGAAACATCGGCCCGGCGTCCTGGAGCTGCGGTCGCCCGTCCTCGCTGCCAGATCCTCGATATCGTTGTTGGGTGAACCCCGAACGCGTCCGCAATGGATGCAATGGAAGCACGGGAAACTTTGCCATTTACGCTGCGGAGAAGAAGCTCTTCGTACGCAGCTCCTCGTTGCTCATCTGTAAGGTTTGACTTGGATTTTGTATGCAAACTTTGCATGCCTCTGTTGTCGGCTGGTGTGCGAATAAAATTGAAAGAAAAATACCGTGCGATAGAACACGTTGAGCATCATTTAGCCATTCAATTTTAGGCCAATCCGTGATAGATAACGTTTCATTTTCGTTTTGTCTGCAATTGTTGCCAAACAGAGTATAAAAAGATCCCGATGCTGGGCAGGTCGATGTAGCCACTCGCATGGATGTCGTAGAGGGTGGCCAGGACGCGGTGCATGTCCTCGTCGCCGGCGAACATGGCCTCCATGATGCACCACAGCTCCTCCAACGGTGATGAAATTACTGTTAATCCAAGAAGAATTCGTAGTTTCTCACATTTTACAAGAAGTGCATCTTGTAAAAAGTGACACATCGACAGAACTCAATGAGAAGGATATATATATATGGTGTATTCCATGCCGACTGGGTAGAAATCTTTCCCGTGGAACTCGTAAACAACGCTTGGTTGCCGCCCGCCTCAGTCAACATGAAACCAAAACAACGAATCCTTCATTCGACTTTATGCGTGCTACCACATGAAATATTGAAACACAGGAAGGACATCATGATTTCCAGTTACATCGTCGCTGCAATATATGCATAAATGAAGAGTATGGAATTCAATAGAAAATTCCTGGTTA